AAAACAGCCTGGCCTATGCCCATGTTGCAAACGTGGAAGGCATTGGGCTAGTGAATATAGGTCCAAGACAGATGGACAAGGAAACACCCTTTCCCATAATCAGGGAAACGGGAACAGGGGCCAGCCCCAGGCCCCGAACCAACACAAACCAAAACAGGCTTATGGGACATTCAGTTTCATACCAGCAAACAACAACCCCTTTCTGAACTTAGTCGAACAACACCAGGAAGCATAAGACTGGACCTTAGTTCTGCCACCCACACAGTATTAACCCCAGAAATGGGACCTCAGGCCTTACCCACTGGAGTGTTTGGACCACTCTATCCAAATGTGTTTGGCCTGGTAGGTGGGAAGAAGCAGTGCTACTATGCAGGGACTACAAATTTTTCCTGGAGTTATAGACAGTGATTATCAAGGTGAGATTAAGGTAATGGCCAAGGCAATACAGAATATAGTCACCATTCCTACAGGAAGGAGGATAGCTCAACTATTGTTACTTCCATTGATCCCTACTAATCACAAATATAAGAGTCCTAAGAGAGGGGATCAAGGCTTTGGTTCCTCTGATGCATACTGGGTACAGCCTATAGTTAAAAACCTATGATGACAATATTGCTCAATGGGAAGGCATTCCAAGGTTTAGTTGATACAGGAGCTGATGTGACGATTATCAAACAAAGTGATTGGCCTGCCACCTGGCCTCTTACCCCAACCTTAACCAATTTAAAGGGTATTAGCCAAAGCCAAAATCCACAACAAAGCCCTAAGGTGCTGACATGGAAGGATAAAGAAGGAAATACAGGGAATATACAACCCTATGTCCTCCCAGGTCTTCCCATTAATCTCTGGGGCAGAGATCTATTATCCCAGTTGGGATTGATTATGTGCAGCCTTAATGAAGTAATCACGGCTCAAATGATAAACTCTGGATTTTCTCCAGGGAAAAGATTAGGAAAAAGTGAAGATGGGATTACTCATCCTATTGAGGTCCATGGTAACTCTGAAAGAAGAGGCTTGAAGAGACTTGATCAGACTCCCTGTCTTGTCTCCATTCTTAGCATCTCCGTCCCCACTCTCTCTCTTGCTAGGCCCTAACCCTCGGACCGGAACAACAGAACGGACCGTTACAAAGTGGCTCCCCGAACGTGAGACAGCTCGGGCGGCTACAATTGTGGCTATATTTAATCCTAGTCCTTGGAAGGGGAGGCAGGATAATCACAAGTTCAAGACCAGTGTGAGTTATATACAAAGATCATGTTTCAAAAGGGGAACATAGTGTCTTGAGATAAGAAGGTACGTAGCCAGAAAACCAGTCCCTTTTATCTGCTCCTTTCAAATAAGTGGAAGGCCAGCCAGTCTGGGATCCTGAGATATATGTGCGTTTGTCAGGACTCAGATAAATGATGAAAGTCACTTCCAAAGCATCGGCAGTCTTGGGAGTCACACAAGCCATTCAAACCGGGAAGTTTGGTCCTGAGTGCAAATGTTGAAACTCTGAAGCTCACTCTGTGCTAGGTCTAGGCAGCCAGGCTGGGAATGATGAGACCTAAATAAGTAAAAAATAAAAATAGGCCACACTGTTTCACTGAACAAGAGAAGGGAGTACAACTCACACCTATTTTCCCTGAGCTTCCCCCTGAAAGGAATGGTTCTGAGTGGTTCTGGGCACAGGTTTAACTCGTCACAACCACCACTGGAGGAAGAGTTTGATATGCTGTGTGGTTGTGACAGAAAATTATTATTAAGACAAGTGAATAATACTAAGCCCAACTGTCTTTACTTGCCATCAAAAGGGGCCCAGTGAATTTCAGGTCAAGGAAAAAGGTTTATTCATTAAACAAGACGCAGTAGACTGTCGTCCTGAAAGACTTTTGCTATTTTATTTTAATGGAAATAGTGACTTTAAGACTAGTGAATGACAGAGGCTGTGCAAAGATACCTGTGGATGCCCTGAGCCTGCTACAGCAGGCATGAGACAACACATGTGTGAGCCTGCCATGTTAAAGAACACACACAGACACACACACTTCCTACATATATACACATAATTACGTAGTATAATAAAAGAACCCTCAGCCAACTGGTAGCACCTTAACAATTTTTATCATCTGTAGTTGCTTACTTTTTAAATGACAAGGTGCCACACAGTAGGCACAATCTGACAAAGGAAAAACCATGGCCTATATCACCCTCATGGTTCTTAGAATTTCTGCACACACTGGCAAATTACCTCTACTTTTATAAGCCAGACTCAAACATCAAGGAATTGGTAGAGTGCTGGGCTAGCGTGCAAGAATCCTGGGTGTGGTGGCACAAAACAGTTATCAAGCACAGAGTGTGGAGGCAGGGGCTTCAAGGTCATGTCCTCAGCTACAGGAGACTCAGGGAAGGAAGGAAGGAGGAGAGAGGAGGGTGAGAAGAAAGCGAGAAGAAAGCCCAGGAGTTAGTTGCCTCCGTTTTGTTTGGCCCAAAACTCCTGTCTAGACAAAAAAACATGAGAAACAAGCCCTCTAACTGACAGTAAGAGTAAGCTCTCTACACTAAACTGAGCACTAGATGAAGTGTCTAAGAGCGAATGGCTGGCGGGGACCCCAACCCTTGAGTTCACCACCCTGCACCCTGGACGTGAAGTTGCCTCACTTGCTCCCCCGGGCAGTGCCCTCTCCCCAACACTCACACATACACACACTTATACACACAGCCGGGCTCTGTGCTGGAGGAAGACGCAGTAGCGTCCTGGCGTTGCCTGGGTGACGAAGGGCCCAGTAGCTGGGGGAGGCAGAGGCGGATCCTGGGGCGGGGCAGGAGGCCGGGCGGGGCTGGCAGGAAACGGAGCCTGCCGAGCGGAGGCCTCAGGGCTAGGACGCCAGAGCTCGCGGGCAGGTAAGTACGGGTCCGAGTCTGGAGCCCCGGGCAGAGCAGGGCGGGCGGCTTCCCGGGACTGCTGCGACTGCTGGGGCTGGCAGAAGTGAGCTTGCGGCGCTGTGCAGTGGAGGACACAGCAGTGGTATTTGCCCAGGCTAACCCCGCCGAGCGCTTTTGTCCTCACGTCCGCTGCGTCCAGGCTGTTTAAACTTTAAAGGGCGGCGCTTGCGCTGTGTGGTAGAGAACTTGGCTTTGCAAGTTGAATCCTGTTTGTTGTTCGCGTCTGCCTGAAAAGTAGGAAGAAGAGGCGGATCAGGCTCCGGGCACAGGCCTGCTCAAGACCCCTGACCAAGGCCAGACCTGGGCGGGCACCTCCGCCACAGTGCCTCCTGCAGTCTGCAAACCTGTTGCTGTCCACGGGTTAGCCCCAAATAACTTTTCTTCACACAGTGATAAACTGCTAGTGCTTGCTTCATAACAGGCTTCCTGTCGCCTATCAAAACCAGCACTGGTTAAAGTTAGAAACTTCAAGGCTGAAAAGTCTTTAAGGTCTATCAGAGAGGGCCTTTATTTCAGAGCTTCTGTCCTTACTCCAGAGGAAAACTGGGAAAGTCCCCATGGTCCTTCAGGGAGCCGCCTTGTTGGACACACAGGGTCTAGTGTCCATTTCCAGTTTAAGGATGAGTGGTGACGGGTGGGAAGCCAGGTTGGGGGATACCAACCCCCTTCCCTTTTTGTTTGATTCCTTTTCTCCCCTGTCCTCTTCTTCATGCCCTTTCCAGTGTATGTTCTAGGAAGGTTATTTCTTACAGGTTATTAAATAGATGGGTGACAGGGAATATGGGTAGATTGTCATGAGAGCTCGTTTGGAAAGTGGCCTCCGGTGGAATGCCTGGGAGTACAGACGTTGTAATCCACCAGCGCCAGGCTTTCAGTTCCAATTTCTCAGGGCTGACCTTAGGCAGGTCTGGCCCAGGTTCTGTATTCTTGAGCTTTGGAAGTAGTAAGATAAAGTATCTACAGTGCCACAAAATCACCTACAGTGGCTGATAGCTTTATCTGGAAATTACCATAAAGTGATTTTACACAAATTAAGGAACTAGGAGGCAATGTGTACTTTAGGGTGGAACCAAAAAGTAGACGTGAGACGTGGCCTAGACTTATGTTTAATGCTGTAGACATTTGTGATAACCAGAACAGAGGTGACTCTCATATAGAGTATCTGAATCCCAGAGACAAAAGAGGCTAAGGTAGGAAAGTCTCAGGTTCAAGGTCAGCCTAGATAACATAGAACACATCTTGGGAGAATGCTTGGCTATGTGCTTTGAATATGCTTTGCTCTAACCCAGTCTCTGAAGGCTGAGGCAAAGGAATGTGAATTTGAGGCCAGCCTGGGGTACATTGCTTTAAACCCTTGCTACGGTGAGACTCTTGAGAAGCCTGCACCCATGTTGTGCAGGGCAGTTTTATGTCAACTTTGACACAAACTGAAGTCATCTGAGCAGAAGGAGCCTCAATTAAGAACATGCTTTTTCATCATGATGTTTCATTACATCAATAAGAACCCCAACTAAGACAGATATCTTGGGTATCTATTCTAATTTTCCTAAGCATACCTCTTCTTTCCCCTAATGCCTGTACTTAAGTATATATTAAAACTGTTCGGTGCTAGCAAGCTAGCTTAGCAGGTAAAGGCACTTGTCACTAAGCCTGGGCCCTGGGACCATATTATGGAAGGAGGAACCTACTCCTGAAAGTTGTCATCAGACTTCCACAGAGCTGTGGCATGTGCCTGCCAGCCCCCATACATACACAAATACATGTCAGAACCTTATTAATAGACCCCAACTTTACATTAAACAAACCCTTCCTGAGGGTATGAGTTTGACAGCCTTGAAAGTGGATGGTATTTTAATAGACTTTCTTGAGCAACAACTTAGGGCAAAGTCTCTGGGCCCTGACTAGGCTGAGGGAGATCTGGGTGACAACCCACACTGAAGCTTCTCATTGGATGGGAAGAACAGAGTTGGTCTCCTGGGCTTTCAAGGGACATGCCAAGCTGTGACTAGCACTTTTGCCATGGCAGCTGTCAGGTGCCTGGTTACAAAGGCAGACTGGCAGTCCCTTCCTGGATTCTGGTTCTGTCGGTCTCAGGTGCCACCAAGACCCTGGAGTCGGCCTCCTAACACCAGCAATTTTGAGGCAGATGGAGGAAACCTACTTAGCACCTATTGGACAAGGAAATGCCCCACTGGAGTCTTCATTGAGAAATAGTGCTGCCTGGGTAAACTCCACTCACCCACACTGCCAGGGTGGTCATGGTTTTGTTTTATTGACATGATGTTCGGACAATCAGATGCCGGGGGAAGACTGTCTAAGAACAGAGGGAAAAATAATCAATTCTGCCTCAAAGACCCCTGCCTAAAGATGCATCCTGTTCAGTTTCCTCTTTGCTCATAGCCCTCCCCTCCCTTTAATCTGTTAACTAACGGAAAGAAAACAGATTATTGAGCCAATTACAGTACAGATGCCATCTGCTGAATGTGCCTCTTTCTATTTAACTTCACTGGAAGCTGGGCCAGGTGGTGTCTTGCCTGAGCTACTCCAGATGCTGAGCCAGGAGCAACAAACGCATTGCGCCCAGGACTGTGAGGCCTCCCTGAACAACAGAATGGGACAGTAGAGTTGAGCTGCTCTGTTGTACTTGCTACATGTCGGCTGCACAGTAGCCACAGGTGGCTAGTGACCAACACACTTCGTTGCATTCATTGAGCGATTGGATCAGCACGGAGAGGCCTGTCACACAGCTCCCCAGAGTAGGGAAGGATGCAGTGAAGGGTTACTCAGAGGGCTGTGAGGTATCCTCAGTAGTGAGGTCCCTTAACAGTGTTCTTACTGGAGATAGGTGACTCAGAAAACCAAAATCTGAGCCTTGCAATGCAGGCCTTGCCCTCCTCCAGTTAAGTGGATTTGGTGTACTGGAAACCCTGTAAACCACAGAGTGGACTCAGTTCCCCTGTATGATTCAGCTTCTGCTCTGTACACCAAAGCAACTGTGTATTTCCTTCGCACTCTGTAACCACAGAATTGTTTAAGCCAAGGCACATGTGTTTGGATAAGGTCTTCTCCATTTCTGCGTGTCATGTGTTACTTGGAAGGCCAGAGAAGCAGAGCGTGGCTATAACTGATTTATTCATCGAATAACTTCCCTTCATTTCCAGGAGTCTTAGAGGTCCGGGGTCTGAGGGGCGGAGCACCTTTGCTGTACTTTAGCTGAAAGTAAAATAAATGAGGAAGGTGTGATGGCATGCACCTTTAATCTCAGCCCCCAGAAGACCAACACAGGCGATTTCTGTGAGTTAGAGGCCATCCAGGTTTACCTAGAGTGTTCCAGACCATCCAGGGCTACATAATAAAATCTTGTCTCAAAAAAAAATTAACAACTTTGTTTTCCAAATAGGTGAAAGTAAAACATGACAGAAATCGATGGCTTCTACAAAAGGTAAAGATCTTCTTGTCTTATAAAAGCCTTTCCGTTCTTGGTCACAGCCGTCTTACAGGAAGGAACGGAAGAATGCAGTTGTTAGGCTCGGTGATGGTTAGCATTTGGGGAGCTGAGATGTGGGTTTGGTTAAAGTAGTAGTTCTCACCTGTGGGTCAACTTTCACAGGGGTCACCTAAGGCCTTTGGAAACGGCAAATATTTGCATTACATAACAGTAGCAAAATTATAGTTACAAAGTAGCAACAAATACAATTTTATGGGTGATTAGGGGTCACCACAATGCAGGAATTGCATTAGGCAAGTGGAGAACCTCCGGGTTAAAGGGCCTGGAGTGATTGTTTGTTTGTTTACTCTTCATTAGTAGGGAGGTGTTTGATCCAGCAGAGCAGTACAAGATGGACCACAAGAGGAGAGGAATTGCCCTAATCTTCAATCACGAGAGGTTCTTCTGGCACTTGACCCTCCCAGAGAGACGTGGCACCAGTGCAGACAGGGACAACCTGACTCGAAGGTAGTTTTCTCTGGGATGATACACCTAAGTGATAGCTAATGGTAATTTAGCACTGATGATGGATTGAGAGCCTCTCAGGGACCCAGCGTGTGCTTAGCACGCATGAGGCTCCACAAAGGAACCCCTAGGGTTGCCTTGTCACTAACGTCTGTGCAGTAGGTGGTGATAGTTGTCATTGAATTTGGTTCTTGTCACTGTTAAGCCTTTTCACAGGGCAGATGATCAAGGGAATTGCCATGGTCAGTTTTTTTTTTTTTTTTTTTTTTTAGTATGTCATAAAAATAGGCATGGAATTCCTCAAGGAAATAAGGGTATTGGATGGTCTGGAAATACTCACAAGCTAATTCTGAGTTCATTGTGTCACCAGGTTTTCAGAACTAGGATTTGAAGTGAAATGTTTTAACGACCTCAGAGCAGAAGAAGTCCTGCTCAAAATTCACGAGGGTAGGTAGTCTTTGTTATTTAAGGTCTGTTGGGATTGGGTGCTCTCTCTAGATTTGATTACCTGTGTCTGTAACTGTTGCATTACTGTGCAGTAGGTCCTCTAATTCGGATGCAGCTCAGAGTGAGTCCTCACTGCATGCTTCCAGCCTTCGGATCATTTGCTGATGGGTTGTTACTGCTATTGGCATTATCATTTTGTGCTTTCTCCAGCGCTTTCCTTTAATTCAATTGAAAATAGTTATAATTGAAACTAACTGCTTACTAGGTTTTCTGCTTTGCTCATAGCTCATGGGGTCTCAACTCTCCCGGAAGCTCTGAGAGTTAGGGATGGCACAGGGTGCAGCCTGAGAGGCAGCTGCTGAGTGGTTGCTTCTAGGTTTTCAGTCTACTGTGGGGAAGTCTGCTCCTTCAAAGAAACTTTTAGTGTATTATTACCAAAGTCATGTGAGTCTTAAAAAATAATTTTTAAATTACCAAGTAGTCACCGTGTAAAGTAGGTTTCTCAGTAACATTCATATTCCAAGTGCGTCGGACATTTTTGACCATGTTTACTCTTTATCTTCTGTTCTCTCCTCTCCGCTCCAACTGGTCCCCCTCCTCTTCCCAGATATGTCTGCCTTCTATGTTCATGTCACATGAGTATGACAGGGGAGGGAATTGTGTGAAGCTGAAGATTGCACTTTCAGGGAGAGAATGTGAATCTTCTCTTCCTGGATCTGCCCTGTTTTGCTTAGGGTGATGGTCTCCAGTTCCACGCATTTTTCTGCAGATGACATATTTGGTTGTTTATGGCTGAGTAGGACTCCGTTGTGTGGATGTACCACATTTCTCTACTTGTTATGAGTTGAAGGACTAAGCTGACGCTATGGTTTGTCTGTTGTGAGCAGTGCTGCAGTAAACACGGGTGAGCAGGCATCTCCAGGAGCTGTCCTGGATCCCCGTGGGTGTGTTCCCAGGGGTGCTACAGCTGGGAGCTGTGCTTTGTTTTTTCAGGAAGCAATGGATTGATTTCCATGGTGCCTATGGTTGCTTACACTCTATCCTGAACTGTACAAGGGCTCCATCCTCCCCGGCCAACTTGCCAACTTCCCTCCTCCCCAAACCACTTCCCTCCTCCCCAGCACACTTCCCCATCTCCCTAATCCACAACCCAACTCAGCTGTCTGCTTCCCACTTCCCACCCTCACCAGCACTGGTTTGTTTTTTTTTGCTGTTTTTTTTTTGCTGTTTTTTTTTTTTTTTTAAACGAGAGCCATTCTGACTGAGAGGAAATGATCTCAAGGTATTCCTGATTTCCTGATTTGTATTTCTCTGATGGCTGAGGTTGATGGACATTCTGTCACCTCACTACTGACATTTGGTATTTCATATTTTTCTTTTTTTCTTTTTTTTTTCCAAAACACAGTTTCTATGTATAGCCCTGGCTGTCCTGAAACTCTTTGTGTAGATCAAGGCTGGTCTAAAACTCTCAGAGATCCACTTGCCTCGGCCTCTGAAATGCTGGGATTAAAGGCATGTGCCACTACCGCCTGGCTTGGTACTTAATATTTGGAAAAGCATCCCTGTGTTTCATTTATTATTTTCTGATTGGAATATTTGGCTTTCTAGTAGGTTTTCCTCTCCCCCATCATTCTTTATATAGTCTAGATACTAACCCAGTCTCTTCAGATTTATAGCCAAAAACAGATTTCCTTCCATTCTGGAGGCTATATCCCCACTCTGGGAATTGTCTCTTTGGCTGGGAAGTTCATTTAATTTTTCATGTGATCCCATTTGGTAGTCCTTGTATTTCCTGAGCTATTGGAGTCCTTTACAGAAAGGCTTTGCCTATATCATTTGTTTTTTCTTACCCATGTATTATTTTGTGTCTGCGGGGGTGTGAGCTTGTTCGTGTGCCACAGCATGTCAGGGGCCAGCTTTGGGAGGGAGTCTTCTACTGTGTGGATTCTGGGACTCCCTCAGTCTTGGCCTCAACCACCTTTACCTGTCAACCATCCCAGCATCCTGCTTATGCCTGTATCTTGAAATGTTTATAGTCATTTCAGGTCTTAAAGTTACTTCTATGGATGTCCAGTTTTCCCTCACAGTTTGTTAAAGAGATTGTCTTTTGTCTTTTCTCTCATGTATGTTTTGATACCTTTTCCAAAAATTAGGCGTCGGGAGCTATGTGGGTTTACATCAGATCCTCGATCCCATTGGTCGATGTGTCTGTGCTGGCACCACCCTGGTTTTGTTACTAACTCCCTTGCTTAACTTGAAATCAGTGTGGCGATAACCCCAGCTTTGTTCTATTTACTCAGGATTGCCCTGGCTGTTGGGGGTCCCTTCTGCTTCGGTGTCCAACTCAAGATGTTTTCTAATTCTGTGAAGAATTGTCATGAGAGCCCATAGGTAGCTTTTGTATGGTAGCCATTTTCCCAATATTGTTGACCCATGAGCTGGAGGCCTTTCACCGCCTTAGTTTATTCCTGTTTATTTCTTTTTTGGTTTTTCGACACAAGGTTTCTCTGTATAGCCCTGGCTGTCCTGGAACTCACTCTGTAGACCATGCTGGCCTCGAACTCGGAAATCCGCCTGTCTCTGCCTCCCAAGTGCTGGGATTAAAGGTGCGCGCCACCACTGTCCGGCTTGTTTATTTCTTAATGCTTTTGCAAATAGGATTCTGTCTTTGTTTTCTTTCTCAGTGAATAGCATATAAGAAAGCTTTTGATTCTGGGTCCTGCTTTTTGGCTGAAACTGTTAATCAGATCTGAATTTTCTATTGGAGTATTTAGTGCTTTTTATTTTTAATTTTTAAAACTTTATGTGTTTGAGTGTTTTGTCTGCATGGTTTGTGTATGTTAGCTGCCTGGTGCCTTCAGAAGGGAACTGAGAGCATTAAAGTCTAAAGTAACAGATAGTTGTGAGCTGACATGTGGGTACTGGGAACTGAACAGAGAGAGCAACCTGCGCTCTTACCTGCTGAGCCGTCTCTCCAGCTGGTTAGTGTCTTTTTAAGTATAGGATCTACAAACGGGGATAATTTACTTCTGCCTTTCCCGTTTGTGTCTCCTCTTTGCTCTTCCTCTTGCCATACTGTGCTAGCTAATACTTAAAGCACCATATTGAGTAAACATGGAGAGGCTCTTGTCTTTTGAGGAAATGTTTTGCTTTTGCTGTTAGTGTAGAGTTGCTATAGGTCAGTCGTGTACAGCTTGTGTGGTATTGAATTGTCTTCCTTCTGGTCCCGGTTTCTTCAGGGCTTCCACGAGGAGATGTTGAACTTTGTCAACATCTTTTCCTGCATCTCTCAAGATGATAACGTACTTCCGTGTTTGAGTCCTGTATCCTGTATTATAGTCACTGATTTGCATATGATGAGCCATTATAATCCTGCAGTTAAGCTAACTTGGTCATGGTGTATGGCTTTTTAATGTATTGTTGAATTCTGCTTGCAAGCATTTTACTGAGAATTTCTATATCCATGGTCTTGGAGATGTTATGTTGGGCTATGATGTTTTTGTTGTTGTATCTTTAAGTAACTTGGATCTTAAAGGAGTGTCTCCATTTTTCCCTCCATTTTTCCGTACTTGAGAAAAGCTAATATTTTTTTTAATGAAATTGCTTTAAACTTTAATAATTGTTTTTTAAGCCAGCCATGGTAGGACACACCTGTAACCCCAGCATCAGGAGGCGGGGCTGGAGGATTACCAGATATTCAGGCCAGCATTCATAGGCAACCGTGTCAGTCCCTGTCTGAAACAACCAACATTTAAAACAGTTTAGGGCAAAGAAACACTTTAGGGCCAGCCTGGCTACCCAGTATTAAAGAGGAAGAAAAGATAAAGGTGTATGTTACTACAGGAAGTTTGTGTTTTTTGAAGCAGGCCCTCTCCTGCCGCTCCGTAAGTGTATTTTCGTTCTGGTACCTGTAGCTCCTGTAACTAGAAGCTCCACATGTGGATAACAAACTCTGATTTTTCACCTCTGCATGCATTTTGGGGACATCTGTAGTGTCAACTTCAAGCCACGTAGATGCCGATTGCTTCCTGTGTGTCTTCCTGAGCCACGGAGAAGGCAACCACATTTATGCCTACGACGCCAAAATTGAAATTCAGACATTGACTGGCTTGTTCAAAGGAGACAAGTGTCAGAGCCTGGTTGGAAAACCCAAGATATTTATCATTCAGGTAAGACTGATCTTACCGTCACCTCCGCTATACAACTCAGTGTGTGGATTAAAAAGGTTAGAAAGTCGACTTCTAAAGTAAGTTCCTCCAGTGATTAGAAAGGCCCCTTTTGGGTCCTTGTCACACAGAGTTGCACTTGGAGTTGTTGATGTTTCTTTATTAGAGGAGTGTTTGGAGCTGGGCGAGCATGGCGCACACCTTTAATCCCCATGCTTATGAGCTGGAGGCCAGATAGCCTGGTCTACAGAGTGCGTTCTAGGCCACCCAGTGCCACCTTGTCTTGAAAAAAAAAAAAAAGAGATTAACATTTGGTATGACAGATAGTCACCGCTGTGCCGCTGTGTGGCTAAACTGGGTTTAGAGGAGGAGCCACTGGACATTGATTGCTCAGGACCCTGGAAGGCAGCCTGGCTACACTGGGCTTGGGTCTGTGGGAGCTGATGTGCATGCAAGCCAGGGCAGGGGATGTGGGACGAAGCAGGCTTATCTTCACCTGCCTCATCCCTTTACACTTCCCCAAGAAAGAATGTTTGGAGCATGACAAATCTGGTATTAGAGGCTCCACCATGAAAATTTAAAGCGGAAGCCTGGTTTAGCCAGTAACACTGAGGAGCAGAGTGTAGCTCAGTGGCAGAGCACTGGACGAGCAAGCGTGAGGCCCTCAAACCAGAAAACAAAAGCTGTCAATGCTAGCTTCTGAATCGAAATGAATAGATATGAATTTAGAACTCAGTTTGAAGTGGGAACAGGGGTTGGGGAGGAGAGGGACAGGGAGAGAGGGATATAGGGAGAGAGGGAGAGGGAGAGCGAGAGCACACGTGAGCACGCTGTGATGAAAGGCTGCTCTTGCAGAGGAGCTGCTTTCCAGTCTCTTCTCCAAGGGACCCCACACCCTCTCCTGAACCCCGGGGGACACCTGCACTCACGTGTGCACAGACACATCCACAGATATACGCGTAGATACATACTTTTTAAATATAATTAAAGAAATACAGTGGGAACAGAAGTGAAGGCACCTGGATAGATGGCCTCTTGAGTCAGTGCTGTTTCAACTAGTGACACATTGTGACCTCAACTAGGCCATCAAAACGTCGTTTGGAAGTAACTACCTGATTGAATAAAAACATTCAGGTAAGGGAGATAGTTTTTTAAATGAAGGGTGTACCATTCAGTATATCTTGGTGTTTATTTGTGGGGTGGGTTGGGACCAGGCTTTATAAACACTGTCTAAAAGGAAACATTGAGAAAGCAGCTCTGTTAGCTTTTTGTCTCTCGGAGCCTGAAGGTGTCGTTTTTGAACTGCTTACATGGCTTCTGTTCCTAATGGGAGGGATGCTGAATTACATTCTTGCTGCACATGAAGCATCGGTACCAAAATGCCAGGCAGAGAAAGTGTTCTTTCCTCTCTTTTGTAGGCCTGTCGGGGCAACCAGCATGACGTGCCCGTGGTTCCTCTGGATGTGGTGGATCATAAGACAGACAAGCTGGACAACGTGACCCAGGTGGATGCTGCCTCTGTGTACACTCTGCCTGCAGGGGCAGACTTCCTCATGTGTTACTCTGTCGCAGAAGGTGAGCGAACAGATGCTGGTTGAAGCCAGTGACCTGTACTTTGAGCTTAAGCCTGTGTCACCTTTGAATTGGAGTGGTCCTTCACAATTAAATCACTGTGTTCTATTAAAAAGCCACAGGCGTTATCACATTGAAGAAGTCCTTTCTGATTGATAAATGAAATGTGAAATACCTTACACAATAACAATATTCCTGTATAACTACATTATAATACAGTAACAACAGCAGCTGTGTAGTTGTATTGGGTGTTAGCAGCTTGCTGTCATTTGGGGATAGCATGGCAGCACCCCTCTGATATATTTGTGGAAAGCCTTGCTAAAAAACATTTTGCTAAATTCTTTGCTTTCAAACTAGTACTGTTTAAATCTCTGGCCTCAAATTCATTGGGTATTATTTTGTTCTAGTTTGCTTTTGCAGAAAGTAGAGAAAATTTCTGTCAAAAGCCTTCTTTGGCTTCTCAGGGTAAACTGAAGCAGACAGCAAAAAGGAGTATGGCTTTGGCAATTGGGGTCATGCTGATAGCAGCCCATTAGGGTAGGAATTGGGTGTTGGGAGGGTAGCTCTCTCTCCTTAAACTTTTTTCCTAAAATGATTTGAACCAAATCAGGAATGCTATAAAGTCATTAATTCATCTTAACAGCATTAATTCATGACAGTCACCTTCTGTTGATCTGCAGGAAATTTGCCCAATAGTGAGCTGATACCCAGGAGTCATCAGGCTATGTAATAGTGACAGGAAAAGCTTCTCAGCAGTGAGAAGCAATCCTGGGATGATGTCTCTGGGGCTGTGCCTCTCCAGAGTGCACCCAATGCAGCCATGGAAACAGTGGACCATAGCCTTTCCTAGATGGCTTCTGTCAAATTTCATTAATCTTTTGTATGTAAAAACCATAGAATTAATATGTTTTCCTACATTAGATTAAGCAATGGAAAAAAAAAATCATAGCCACGTGATGAGCAGCGTGTCTTATTCTTTCCAGGGACTTAGGGAGCTTCCATTTCTGTAACTGACTCTATCATAAGTGTCTTTCTGTGACCGTGAAGCTCCGCCCCCCTCTCTTGTTTTAGGATATTACTCTCACCGAGAAACTGTGAATGGCTCCTGGTACATTCAGGATTTGTGTGAGTTGCTGGCAAGGTATGGCAGTTCCCTCGAGTTCACGGAGCTGCTCACGCTGGTGAACAGAAAGGTCTCTCAGCGCCGTGTGGACTTCTGCAAAGACCCCAGTGCGATCGGCAAGAAACAGGTTCCCTGCTTTGCCTCAATGCTGACCAAAAAGCTGCATTTCTGTCCCAAACCTAGTAAGTAGGGCCATCTGTCTTGCTACATATGTTTCACACACATTTCCCTTTCATACAGAGGCCAGCTGGTCCAAGATTTTCACCCATCAATGTAAACTGTTTCAATTTTTTTAGATGCCATAGAAAAGTAATGTTTTATCTTTGTTATTTTTCAATCATGTTGGACATGGTGAAAGGGCTAAAAAAAAATCCTCAGGAAATTACTGTGCATAAATGTCTACTACATTTATTACATTTTTAGTAAACTGCAATATTACTCAAAAATACCAACTACTTTGCCTTACCTTTTGTGACACTATTTATACAAGTTTATTGTATAATGTTTTTACAGAGTTTTGAAACTCAAGAATGAGATTTTTTTCACTTAATAAAATGTCTAAAACTCATTAAATTTTCTAATTCATATGCTTATGTAATTTATAGTGGGCCTATTTTACTTGGTCATGTATTCATTTATTATCTTGTTTACCTGTAATCAGGGTATTTTATGTGTGGATTTAATTCCCATTTTAGAAATAATAAACCTTTCAGAATTGTTTTATGGCACTCTGAGGATGAAATGTAGTTTGTGGTGACATGTAACCACATATAGGCACATGTTTAGTGATAATACTTAGCCACTGTAGGTACATGAACCCCTATAGGGACACATGCAGTAATACCTACCTGATAAAGACACACATGAAGTGAGACACCTAGCCACTGTAGTCCAGCATGCAGGCAATGCTGACCACTATAGATTCAAAACCTCTACCAAGATGGGATGCTACAGGAACTTAAGACTGAAGATCTTGACATTTTTAGCAGACTGTTGAATTAACAATATAATTAGTTTTCCTTTAAGGTTCTTATTAGCATACACATTTTTGAATCTTAATGTTTTGTTAGTAACCTGCTGGTTAAGTGTTCTATTGGGGCTGTGAGAATAGAAACACCTAAGTTGCTGGTATAAAGGCATCGCCTCAGGTGCCTTGCTTCAGCTGCAGTTGAGGAGGTACCAGGATGGCTGGTGGGGCATTTGTACCGTTGATACAGTGTTATGGTCATACAACTATTGCACAGTAAAAGACAAAAAGAAACTGGGCATTATGGCTCAGACCTGTAATTATAGCTCCCAGGAAACTGAGGCAAGAGGATTGTTTGGAGTACAAGTTTGAGCCACAGTGTGAGCTACCCTGTCACAAGAGATAAAGTTCACTCACGTTAACAACAAGAACCAAAGTGAATGAAGGCCAAACGCTGACCATTTTACCCCCACGTGGAGGCAGCTGGGGAGGAGTGTGGCAGCTTTGCCAGGGCACACAGGCCATTTGAAGCATCAGTGCACACAGACCAGCTGGAGTGGAATTGTCAATGAATACTTCTGTTTCCCACAAATTTATTAACCAAATTGTATCTGAAAATGTCAAGTGGAAATGAACATGACCTTAAAAACGTCCAGTTGGTAAGCTATAAAACCAGTGCACAGCCTGCTGATGTTTAAAGCGTGAGATTAGTTCTTCCCACTGACTTCCTGTCCTTGAATTCGCAAGTGGAGGGAGTGACGCACGTTTTCCAGGGATGCTGTAGCCTGTCATGGGGGAAAAAAACTTGAGATCAGAGAAAATAAATATCAGAACTGATGTTTGAGGGGAGTTGTACAAACTCAGTATCTCCTTGGGACAAGAAAACATTGAAATTACTGAGGTAAATGCCTTGTTGGAATCTTTTGATGTTTTTGTTTGTTTGATTGTTTCTTTTGAGACAGATCTCATTGTATACCTCTGGTCGTCCTGAAACTCAATATGTAGACAGGTTGGCCTTGAACTCACAAAGAACTACCTGCCTCCCTGGTGCTGGGATGCATCAAAGGTATAAGCCACTATGCCCAGCTTTATGAATCCTTTTTAAAGAGATGAATGTATGCCTTCATTTCCAGGTACTCTGAAAAGAAAACTACCAGGTAATCCCTTTCATGATTTCTGCCCCAATTCATATTCTTTTTTTTTTTTTTGGTTTTTTTTGAGACAGGGTTTCTCTGTGTAGCCCTGGCTGTCCTGGAACTCACTCTGTACCAATTCATATTCTTAACAAAAAAAATCCTTCCAAAGTTTTGCTAAACAATCCATGGAATATCTCAGCCTTGCATGTATTTCCCTGTCTTCCAAACAAAACCAGCTCAGATATGTACTCGCTGTAAGATACCTCAGCAAGGTCTTCTTTTAGCTTGTTGTATTGTTCCACATCAAAACACTGCTGCTGTGATTTCTTGTGGAAGAACTGAAGAAACTGCCTGCTCCGGAGGGATACATAAGTGTAGTTCTGAAGGAGAGAGGAGACAGCGGAACATCATTTAAATGAAGATGCTAACTCAGCAACACCAAGGGGAGATGAAGGGGCGTAGGTATCTGCAGCGGCCGTCAGAGCAGACAGCCCGCAGAAGCAGGGCATGATGGGAGTTGAGAGTACCTCTTACAGGTGGGCTAACTGGGACGAGAAAATATACATTTTGAGAAAGAAAAGTGGAAAGATTTGGCAACCTTGACACGAAGCTAGTTACTGGGAATAACTAATTTTTGTAGCACAAGTTTGATGTCATTGACTAATGACAAATTAACACTCCTTTGTCCCCATGGAGGAGTTCATGTATTTATGCTCCTTCATCTATAGGAATTAAAATTTTTTTGATGCTGTGAAGACTCCATCCAACCTTGTGAAAAACTTCAAAAGACTCAGGAAATGAAAGAATTTGGCTGCTTGTACAAACTAGTTTTATGTCAGCTTGACACAAACTACGGTCATCTGAGAAATGAGCCTTACTGGAGAACTAGATCAGGCTATCAGCAAGCCTGTAGGGCATTTTCTTAACTAGTGATATGGGAGGGCCAGGCTCAGCTGTGGGCAACACCATCCCTGGGCTGGTGGTCCTGGGTCCTGTAAGAGAGCAGACTGAGCAAACCAGTAACCAGCATTCCCTCATGGCCTCTGCCCAGTTTGAGATCCTACCTTGGTTTCCCTCAGAGGACTGGGATTTAGGATATGTAAGTCAAGTAAACAAACCCTTTGCTCCCCCTAGGTGCTTTTGGTCATGGTTTTTCATCACAGAAATAGGAACTCTAACCAAGACACTGCTTGCCTTGATGAGGAATCTTTAGACCAATAGGTTCTCAACCTTCCTAATGCTGTGACCCATGAAAGGGTCTTTTGGGGTCATGGCCCACAGGTTGAGAACTACTGTTTTAGATGGATGTTCTGACTTACCATTTTCCTAGCTACCCACCTGCCGAGTTATGATGAAGTACGCAAAAAAGACCATGGAATTCGCAAACGTAAGGAAGAACGTAACTGGCTCCATGATATCCCAGGAGTACACCCACCAAGTAAGCCAGGCCAGTGCCCCACCCTGCACAGAGAGCAGAGCTAAGCCGGCCCACAGGAGACCGCTGGTTTTGGTTTCCGAATGAGCTTCTATTGCAGCTTTGACCTGGAGGAAAGGAAAACCATTTGGTTTATGAGTTTGCTAGCTTAAGGAGGGAAAAAAAAAAAAAACAGTTGAACTGGTGAACATTTTGCATCACTTTGAAGAGGTCATATATGTAGAAAAATGGCATTATGAAGTATGTACCATGAAAAAAAAAACAAAAAAAATGAAGTATGTACCAACTGCTTATTTCCAAATCAGTTCATTAATAATTTTCAAGTTATAAAGGTAATATCTTCTCAGTGAAAACAAACTAGCCAGGCATAGTGTCACACACTTTTAATTCCAGCACTCAGAAGTCAGAGGCAGGAGGATCTCTGTGAGTCTGAGGACAGCCTGGTAAACATAGAGTTAATTCCAGAACAGCCAGGACCACAGAGAGACCCTGTCTCAAAAAAAAAAGGCAAAATCCATGAACACTATAGAAGGTTTACACTTAGAAGTCCACAAGCCTGTTCTGAAACCCGTGTGAAATCCCAGGCCTGTTGTCTTTGTCTCTCCAAGGCCCCTCTGTGACTCATCTCTCAGGCACCTTATGCCCATGCGTGCCTCCAGAGATGCGTTCTGTTCTGTGAAATGATGCAGGACTCCCTGGAGACGGAGCTGTCTTCTCTGGACTTGCTATGCAGACCAGGCTGGTTTGGGAATCAGAGATCTGCCTTCCTCTGCCTCCCAACTGCTGGGTGAAGGCGGGCACCACCGTACCCAGAATATTGTTTCTTGAAGCAAAATGTGGGTAAATAATCCAGAAAAAAAATTTTTTTTTTTTAGAAAGTGCTTCTCTACCATTCTTCTAATGCCCTTGGAGATAATTACTACATTTCTAGAATTTCTAATCATACACAATGATTATTATTTATTTTATTTATTTACATTTCATAGTCCCCCTCTTGGTTCCCCCTCCACAGTCCCCCCTACCCCATCCCCCATCCACTTCATCTCTTTTTAAATTACAAGGGCAATTACAGCTTAAAGAATTCAAGTTTCCTCTTTAAACTTGACTACCACATCCCTGTCCACACACACACACACACACACAATCAGTTGTTTTGTTTTTGTTTTTTTTCCTCCATAGTTTGGAGAAAGGAACCATAGGTTATGAGCCATTACTAACATGACAGTTCTCTTAGGCGGAAATGAGACCTGAGATATAGCACTCTACAATATCCCATTGAACTGTCTGCTATCCAGAGACACCTGGCTGATGCTGAGGAAGCAGAAGATGCCAGCTCTGGGGTCAGATCACCTGCCACACATTCACTGTACACCTTGGTGGCCTAGTGTCCTCATCTCAAAACCAGGAAGATAGAACTCAGCTCACAGGTCGAAGCTCACAGCCCATTTTTCAGACTGAAGGAGAAAATAAGCACACACAGAACACCCAAATGCTCCTGTGACAGGCAGTCATTAACAAAAGGCATCACTTCCACACCGACAGGCTGGGAAGCCTTCCCACCTGCTCCAAGGGCCGTAGCTGTTCCTTCAGGTCGTCGATCTTTGCCATCAGATGGCGCTCTCGTCTCTTCTGGAACTCTTCAAAATGCAGGATTGTAAATAGTCTGTGAACCAAGGACTTCATGTTGTCCATCTCAGTCATGTGCTCTTCAATTGGCTTTTCTGAGAAAAGAGAGACATAGTAGGCGTTTACTATGTGGTTTTCGTCTAGGTAAGTCCAGGCAATGAAATCTGAGTCCCTAGGCCTGGCCGTCTGAGCCTTAGTACGCCAGGATTTAGTTGATCACCAGTCTCGTACAAAGTCAATCTGTAGTGATAAACTTATCACTTATCACCAGAGAATGGGTTTAAGATTCAATTTTGGGAAACCAGATGTTCCTGCATCCTTTTGTAATGTGACTTCACTGTTGCTTTAAGAAAGATACATATGGCCGGGCAGTGGTGGCGCATGTCATTAATCCCAGCACTTGG